TCAATGGGTTAAGGCAGAATATCAGAGTAATTTCAAATTGGAATGATTTGAAAACTGAAATAGTAGAAATGCCCGAAAAGCTGGTTTCAGATCGATGAAAGGAGGGCTTTCCTCTAGTGGACTAGGAGAAAAGGGAAGGGAAAAAAGAGAGGGAGGGAGGAAAGGAAGAATCTCATTCACTGAATTTAGGGGAAGCAAAGTTGACAAAAGAAGTTAACCAATTCAATCTGTTTAATGAAGTGCGTTTCTTATTACCTACATCCCCTCTACTTCACACGTGCCCTTCTCTCATTATGCCGCGTCATAAGGACAGATGTGAAGGATGGATTATACACAGTTTAAGAACTTGTAATATGTAACATGCTGAAATTCAGCTAGCAGGGACAGTCTCAGCACTATTGCGCTGACGAAAAATGTTCCTGTACGACTAATACATATTTCTTCTTGTTGCTTCATGTACTGTGCGGCACCCGGGTAACGGAACTTCTCCCCGAATTCTGCCGGCTTGCGGCAGTGGTTACGCGGCGACTCGCTGTGTCCTTCCTTTGAGAAATCAAATCTTTCCCTTCATAGCGTGCTATCGCGTGCGGCGAGCGCGACACGCCGTTCGGGGAGAGGATGCCAAACCCCAACCAACCGTCTGAAACAGCCCGACAAAGGACACGAGACGTTTCGCATAAAAAAGGGGCTAAGCTACACTGGGAGTTTGAAAAAATGGGAATTTAAAAACGAGCCTCTCCTGAGAAGAATGCCCTCAAAGGCACAGTTCACGATCATTTTGGATAATCAAATTATGGTAAAAAATGGAAGATAAGGTGAAAAATAGTGCGATGAAAGCGAAGGAAGTGCAGAATAGGTGCTCACAAAGTGATAAAAGGCTTCCAAAAAAAAATCGTTAAAAAGGAGCTCTGGACGAGAATGAAACCAGAAAAACGAAGAAGAAGGGATGTGGGTCCTGGTGCGAATAGCTGACTACAGTAAGCAGAAATGCAATTTAGAACCCATTCACTCATAAGCATAAGTTAACAAAAACACTAGTAACAACAAAAATAGCCAACCTCTTACAGCCTTTTGGGGTAGAAAATTAGACAAACGACTGCAGCAGCCAAAAGAATGACAGAGAATAATAGAATATGAGGAAAACATCGCTTCATTATTTAGCGATCAGCTGATTGCGTGCTCAACGTGTGGGTCCTGGCGCGAATATTGCAATCTGTATCGCCTCGACCTGCCGTCTGACACATCATCGTGGGGCGTGCCATCCGGGCGAACGGTAATGGAGCTCCCACTATGCCGTAGCCGTTGAGTTTTTGGACCCAACAGCGTCCTTCCTGATACCTTTTTGGGCCACTGGGTATTCTTAAAGGGGGAACTCAGAAACCATTTTTGTCATAAATTGTGCCTTTAACGACTTTGTAGAGACCTAACATTCAGAAGTGAGCGTGTTTGTTGCGAAGGAGTTCCTCCTGAAATTGTGATCAGTGTTCAGTAGCGACCGAAATCTCGTACAGATACTACTGTCATAGTCTTAATCTTGTCCAATCTTGCAAACGAACCACTCGAAAAAAGTGGTTGTGATCTTGTATTTCTTTAGATTTACTTGTTTTCGTTGTCACCGATATACTGTTCTACATCAATATTTTTGCCCCGTAATCAGTTAATGTACATGGACATATCGCGAACTCTTCTTCCTGTAGGAAAGGGTGGAGCAGTCGGAGGCATAAAAACATCTCTATAAACCTTTTCCAGTCGACCTGCTTCTACTTCACAGTTGATAGCTCCTATCTACAGTTCGTGGAAGTATGACCTTCACTCTGCAATCACCCTCACAAAAACGAGGCAATTCTCTTCAGGTGAGTACATGATGGTAAAGCACTTCTCCACCAAATCAATGTACACCGTTGGGATTTCGTTAACTGAGAAAAGAAGGGGAGAGGTTGAGTTGCTGTGCACCCACTTTTGGCAAGGTTGTTCTGCCTTGACGGATACCATCAGAAGTTATGATCATTCTGTAACAGAATGTATACCCGTATGCAGCTGCAACCGTTTCATCCGCGTTCTGCCTGCTTACGACGTTTGAAATGGAGTTTACACGATTTTGTGCGCAACACCTCGACGGTGACCGAACAAAAGTTATAGGTAAATTCAGGCGCACTGATTCTATCAGACCATGTTACCCATAAGATCCATGAGGTTTTTTTCGGACCTTAAATTACAATCGTTGAGTAGCAACCATTACAAAAGTATCTAATGACCCATATCGCCATTCGATAAAGGTGAACCGTTCATCGCCATGCTGGTTTATGTATTGAAAGGAGGTCAAATCAGTGCGAAAAAAAGCCCACTGATGAAAAATGAAGGGATAAAGGGCAATGTACCTTCCCATTTCCGATATACATGGCTAGAGTTCTCTACGACGTAGCTAACATAATGCAGCTATTACAACTTGATGCTTTAGGACATTATTGATGTTGAAGGCAAACTGAGAGCATAAAAATCTTCATTCTTAACAGAGCTAAAACTGTGTGCTTAAGGAAATCTCCCTCCACACAAAAAGATTTCATTACCAGCGCTTTCTCCAACTATGGAAACCGGCAACATAGTCAGCTGGCAAAAGGTAGTAGTTTTTTTATCACATACTGCTTTATATATGGAATCTGAGAAAACAGGAGCGGTTGAATTACCCGAGTCAGCTCATAGCCTTTTTTGTCGAACTGCGAATAAGTGGTCGCGGCCTCTCGCTGTTTAAGTCAACTCGTAACTCAACGTACTTTTAAGTTAGTAGCCTTTTTCTCTTAGTCTACTAGATCGAAAATTGCCATTTCAAAAGTCAACACGGAGTTGTTGTGATAAAGTTTTTGTTCGGGAAGTTAGTAATGTTATGCTATTGTGCAAGGGTTCGTACGTGAACCTCTAAACTTCTGAGGACCCGATCCCAGCTGTTGGAAATGGGCACAGAGCGTTGCTAAATTATCACAGCAAAGTTTTTTTTTCTAACTAGGTGCTGCGATGGAAATAGAGACCACAATTCTCACAACGAGAGGGGGTAAACCTGGCCTCAGACAGGACTTGAAGTGATCCAGTGTGTTCACCCTCTAGTCACAGAATTCTCAGAGCCTGAACATGGTAGCTATTGATTTCCATTCCACATTCTTCCTACCACAGTAGTGATGCCATGTTACCTCGCCATCAACCGGCTTGCTTGTTACGTGAGAAGCAACGAACTCCCAGTCTATCACCTTAGACAGAGTTATGAACTTGGCCACTCTTAATGACAAATTTGAAACTCTCTGTTGCTAACTGCCATCTTCGAGCTTACGTCCTCATCCCTCCCCGTGAGCGACATGCGATATTCTTCTACGAAATTGGCGACACACACTTGGCCCAGTACGCTACTCGAACCCAAACCCCACTGATTTTCTTGTGGCTTTCTTGCTATAGATCTCTCCAATTCATTCTGACTTTATCAACACGACTTGGATTCAGAAAGAAGGAGAACAGCTGAGCGAAGGTGACCTACTATGTGAAATCGAGACAGACAAGGCTACCATGGGATTTGAAACTCCCGAAGAGGGCTATTTGGCTAAAATTTGTATCCCTGAAGGCACGAAGGGTGTTCCGATAGGAAAGGTTTGTTTGCTTAACGTTGGTAAATACACGATGAATAGTTTTCTGTACGGCTCTGTTTTTCAGTTACTCTGTATTATCGTTGACAGTGAAGACGCCGTCGCTGCCTTCAAGGATTTCAAAGATGGCGAAGCAGGAGCTTCGGCTGCCGCGTCTGAGGCACCAGCTGCCGCTCCATCTTCTCCTACTTCAGCACCCGCTGCTCCTAAAGGTGATATCATGGCTTCCCATTACTTTGAATCATGGATCTCATGTGGAAGCTGAGTTCAATAGTGCGACAAAAAAATAAGCGTTTTTTAGGAAGTTCTGAGTCTGCTCAATAATTTTGTAACTTTTGCCCCATCTGATCGTCAAGTCGCTCGACAGGCCCGAATAACTTAAAACCACTTTTTCCATTTTGAGTGCGGCTGTTTTCGTGGCCGCTTGACGTTTCGTAGACCCGTTCAGTGCACATCCCAGCACAGAGACTTGAATGCGTGCTCTAGCTGACATGAGTGGTTCTCGACCTCTGTATATCGGAGTAGCTGTTGTGGGGCAGAACACATAAAGATATTTTTCTTTGATACCTAACTAATAAGACCTGATAAGAAGAATAAGAAGTCGGGACATGAGCGTTTCTCATGAAGTTGCTTAGGCTGGCCGCTATGCGACAGCTCCGCGTACAAAGCAGAAATAAACCGATGAATCACTAATTCGCCTGTTGGGAAAATGTAAATGAAAATTCACGTCTAGTGCCTTTTCTTTCCCTTTTTCGGTGGCTTACAAGGAATGAAAGATCCCAGCGATAAGATACCGTTACAATTCAATTCGAAGCTTTTAAGGTCATCCTCGAGCGGATGCCCAAATATCTTCTTCCTTTAAACTGTAACCGGGAAATCGTGAGAGACATTCTCAAACTATCCAAGGTGAACCCAACTGTAAGGCAAATGAGCGGGCTGCGGATTCAAGAGAAATCTACATTCGGAGTAATTGACCGATAACTCTTCGAAAGACTGGCCGTGGCGTTTTTGCCAAAGAACTTGGAAGCAGCATTATTACATTTTCAACTCGGAATTGTTCTGTCTCGGGGCTCAAATTTCTTGGCTACGGGTTGATTTGAGTACGAGGCGACATAAGTGTTTTTTCGAATGAGGGGTTATAATATTGCTTTGAAGGTCTCTGACTAGATTATGAATTCGGTTTTATATTGGGAATCGACTCCACATCTCATCTAGTTTATTTTCGAACTCGAATCATATAATCTCTGAATTGAACAGCCAAAAAAAACCCTCGCTTCCTTCCTCACCCTTTCTTTTACTTTTTTTTTCAAAAATCTGAATAACTAAATCTCACCCTTTGTTTGGTCATAAAATTTCAAATAGCTCGATAATTGTCCAAATTACCTTCGAAACATTTGGTCGACGAAGGTTGCTAGAGCGTCATTGGTTATACCGTGCCACGACCATCTGCGGCACCGCCAAGTATAAATGAATTTTAATAACCTCCTTCAACGCCCGCTGCTCGTGCATCTTGTAGTCTCGCATACACTTCTGCGTGCTTAATCATTTGATTATTCTTGTTAACGCATCTTATTAAGGAGATCTTCCGCCATGTAGCCGAATCGCTTTACCTGCTCTTTCACCTACCATGGAGACAGGAAACATAGTCTCTTGGCAGAAGGTTAGTCCAATCCCGTTCCTCAAATGACACTTCAAAAAACTCTTGCGCTGTATTTTTTCACGATACTCGAACACATCTGTAAAACTTCCTCACCATATTTATACACCAGTCGTGTCGTCCAGCTGGCGCCGGTATCTCCTCCTACTCATGTTGGAGTTAGCCCGTGGTCTGGATCACTTCCACTAGTAGGATATCACATAGCTTCATCAAAGATTCCAAGTTTGGACAACTGGTCAAGGAACAGGAGTTAATTATTCCCACATACACCTTGTGTGCGCCCCACTCGCCATGAGCGAAGTCCTGCTCAAATTCTGTGCGTCCAGCGTTTCATTCAGCAACTTATTCCAACTTGACTGCGAATTTTCACTGACGACGCCCAAGTCATAGGCGCCTCTCTCTTCCCGCAGAGTTGAGCTTGGTACCACCCTCCCTGTATTATCTTGAAGCCCGAATAATCCTACTCCCACAATTCGATCGCTCTGAGTCCATGGGAATAGGAGTTATAAATTTCTGGTCGAACACACTTAGCCCGTTATATATTGCAGAATATCACATAATTTCATCAAAGCTCATGTTTTCTCAATTCAGAAAGAAGGAGAACAGTTGGCTGAGGGTGACGTACTATGTGAGATCGAAACCGACAAAGCTACTATGAGCTTCGAAACACCAGAAGAAGGTTATCTCGCTAAAATCGTTATCCCTGAAGGCACCAAGGGCGTTGCTATTGGGAAGGTTCGTAGAGAGACTGCCAACTTGACCTCATTTTAGTCATCACTCCTTCCTTATTTCAGTTGCTCTGTATCATCGTAGACAGCGAGGACAAAGTGGCTGCGTTCAAGGATTTCAAGGATGATGGAGCCTCAGCTCCTGCCGCTGCAGCCCCATCAGGAGCTGCTGCTTCACCGCCTCAGTCTGCAGCGACGATCTCTCCTGGAGGTGAGATAATGCGTCAGGCGATTGTCCTCCTTTACGAAGCTCGCGTTAAAAGTAGGCTAACTCACGCGTCACAACAAGGACGCTTCAAACAGATTTATGAATTTTTGACCTGTCCCACCGTCCACACCGGTACATATATGTCTTCCATCTGTGGGCAGAGCTCCGCTGAACCCGCATGCGCTATGTTGTTCAAGCTTTGTGCCCACCCAGTCCAAATTTGATCCAACACATCCGATTGGTCCTTCAGGTAGCAGTGAATTTTGTACCAGAAGGTCAGACAGATGCAAGCGCCTTATATATAGCAAGGTTAAAAAGATGGAGGATAAAGTTTTTGGCGTTGGTTAATTCCGGCTGAGGGATACGCTCACGTATCGGCTTCTATTCAAAATCGTAGTGGCGTAATGAATGCCAATGTGGCCTGCCTATACATGAATCTCCTGTGGCTAGCCGGTGTACAAGAAAGTGCTTTTATCCTCCCAGACGTGTCTAGTACCAATCGACCAATCGACCCCATAGGGATGAAAGGCTTGTTTTCCCTGAACGAATATGGAATGGGGACTTGAGCCCGGGAACTAGACGCATGTGTGATAGCGCGCAACATACCACTACACCACCCCAGCCCACAGCAAGAGGCTTACAAAAATTAGGTGACTATAAGAGCCGCGACGAATTTGACAGTCCCCAAAACTACACAAGAGGAATACATCCTCAAAAATGTTTGATCTCATAACCCATTCACCTTTCCCCAACTTTCGGAATCGTTCGCAAGGAAAATTGCTGTAATCAGAAACTGACTTTTATGCTACTTTTTCTTTCTTTCTCCTTAGTTTTACTTTTCATCTTAATACTTTTGTACAACAGATCTTCCACCGTGTAATCGCGTGGCTCTCCCTGCTCTTTCACCCACTATGGAAAGAGGTCGTATTGTCAGCTGGCAAAAGGTTGGGCTGCAATCTCTTACTATCTGAATCCAGTTTAATTCTCCTGAAAAACTTACTGTCGTCAATATGAATTTACTATCGGATCAATTTTTGAGATTTTTGACAATTTCCGAGTTTAGAAGAGGGTAAACAGCACGAGTTTCTTCAGAAGAGTATAACTTCCTCATGTTCAGAAGGAAGGAGACCAAATTGCCGAGGGTGATGTGCTATGCGAAATTGAAACTGACAAAGCTACTATGGGTTTCGAAGCACCTGAGGATGGTTATCTTGCCAAGATCGTTATTCCTGAAAACACAAAAAACGTTCCGATTGGGAAAGTCCGTTAACTGATTTCCATGTACCACAGTTTTCATAAGGTGTCAATAACCACTGTTTCAGTTGCTTTGCATAATTGTCGACAGCAAAGACAAAGTTGCAGCATTCAAGAACTTCAAAGACGATGGAACTACAGTTATACCAGAGGCGCCTGCTCCGTCTGCCCCAAGTTCTCCACCTCCGCCGGCAGCACCTGCTACACCACCTCCCACTCCCGTGAATCTTTATCTTTCACCCCTGAAGCAAATCAGTAATGTATTTGTGAAAGATGAGATCATTCAAGGTTGCAACTTCACCACAGCCTTCGGCTGCTCATGCAGCTGGACATGTGAATGCTACACCTTTTGCAAGGAAGATGGCCGCTGAGCGCGGCGTTGATATAAGTGTAAGGTCTTATGAATTATCTAGGACTCGGGAGCCATGTTTTGCTTTTCTGCTACAGGGTGTAGCTGGCTCCGGTCCTGGTGGACGTATTATTGCAGCTGATATCAAACAAGCTCCAGCTGGAGCAGCTGCTACGGCGCGTCCTGTAATACCTATGACGTCGGAAGGAGGTTACACCGTATGTTGATGAAGAATGAAAAGTGTATTACAGTTGCATTTTTCGTGATTCTCGCGCTTAAGAGATTCAACTTGTTCAGGACATTCCTCTGACTGAAATGCGCCGTACTATTGCCAAGCGTCTATCGGAGAGCAAGAGCACCATTCCACATTACTACCTGACTGCCGAAATAAACATTGACAACTTACTCAAGTACGTTATATCATGAGTCGCAATATTCCATTTTTAAATTAGTGGGCTATGCTTCGGACCTTAATGCAACTCTCCACAGTTGCTCTGGCAGAGCTGGAATCCGAAAATGTGGATGTAAATAGTGATCAACTGAACATTTCGCTCTCGCTGACTTCAAAAGCACATGTGCTCGTCATAAATCATAGGAGGTTTCTTGAGCAAATCACTGGTCCAATTACCAACATTGGTTGTATGACTTGTGAGGCATAATTCCTTACAAGAAGAAAAGGGGGAGAGAGAGTGCGGCAAACAAGGAGTTCACGACCAAGGTTCTCGTCTTCGCCTACCTATGCGAGTAAACTCGTGCCGGCTACACGGAGGGGCTGGAAAGCAATTTCTGGCAGCAGAGATAGTGGAGCCAACTTTTTACGCACACGACTGAAATTACGTCCAAACACCTTCGCCGTCATGATCTCGACCCGGCCCTATACATAATGGTCTGAAAGGCAGAGCCCAAGATAATACCTTTAATCACCTCTAGCTTTTTCGCCTTTCCCAAATTTGGCGGAACTGCTTCGGTGGCGAAAAAAAAANAAAAATGGCAGGAACTGCCTTCCAGTCCCATCATGGATCAATGCCCCGGAATATCGTCTGTCTGACTTCTCAACATGTGTGCTCCACTATGTATGGTACTGTGGTTGGAAGGCCGATGAAATGGGTCCACTTGTAATGCATGTAATATACAATAGAGACTATTTTTGAGCCCTTATTGAGTCTATCTAGGCCGTTTCTCGACGTCACAACACTCCTTGTGATATCCTTTGTGGCCAGGGATTTCCGCTAGTAAGGGAACCCAGAGACCTTTTCCATCGTGGACTGTGCCTTCAAAACGCCATTGTGCTCCTGAATGGAAGGAGAGTGCATGCATCCTGAAACAAGATACATTAGCGCCAAGGATATCACTTCATTTCGTCTATGTTATGGTTAACTTCATCTTCAGTTATCAGTTGTTGGTTTGTGGAATTGCCCCAAGTACTTTCTCCATTTTCAGAGTGCGTGAGAAACTGAATAGGTTGCTAGCTCAGGGAACCGATGGCTCAAGTAAAATTTCGATCAACGATTTTATCGTCAAGGTTAGTGGTTGGACGAAGTATTTTGGGCAAAAATCGCACAACATCACGTTATTTCAAATATTTCTACCTTATCAGGCATCAGCTCTGTCTTGCTTGCGTGTCCCCGAAACGAACAGTTTTTGGATGGAATCCTTCATTCGTCAAAACAACACCGTGGACGTCAGTGTAGCTGTAAGCACTCCATCGGGACTGATTACACCAATAGTGTTCAATGCGCATGCAAAGGTAAGTTTGGATCAGTAAGGGTTTCTTGAGCACTTCATCTGCACTACGTTTCATAGGTATAGCAACAAATTTTAAATTTTGTTGTCAAAAAATTGCCATGTCTCCTGGAGAAATACTGTTATACCAATGAGATTCCTAAGCCGAATCGTATAGACGTTGTGTCAGGCATTTTCGACTTTAACAAGGATTTCTACTGAGTCTATGCTGTATACTTCAGAACGATTTTTCGTTTTGTCGTAAGGACGATCCTTGAGTTTTGAAGAAGCTATCATGTAGTGTGGCCTCCAAGTAGGCGACATTTCGCGTTATCGGCTCAAAAACGGCATGGATAAGACGCAATAAGGGCTCAAAAACTGGTTCTGTTTTCTTCCACACCCATAGGCGGACGAGTTTCAACTGGGATCTCGTTCAAGTGCTCAACCCGTAACATTTTCGTCATATGCTAGTCTCGTACAACCCCTACCCTTACTTCTTTTGGAAATCATTAAATTTCACGAATCCTGTGGATTTTTTCACTCTTCGCCATCGACGCGCTAATCTCCTTCAACACTTTCGCTTTTCAACCCAAATAGGCTGTCTCAAAATTATCGTGTACCGTGCCTGTAGGTTCTTCAGTTGTTTCGTTGTCCTTCGTGCACTTCTTGTTCTTTCATACACCGGGAGACACGTAACATTCAGACCGAAAGAACATACAGGCCCTACAATGTCTTAACACGGGTATTCCGACCCATGCTAGAGACCTTGTTGTCCGAATGACTGCGCTACATCAACTCCACTATGGGCATCAAAGCGTGCGTGAAGTAAATGTTTGACCTCAAATGACCTATCCCGGTGCACTTGGAGCGTCCAGGGGTTTGATATGAGTACAAACGGCAGCATGAGCATGCTGAAGGAATGTGGCAGGAGTAAACTCTACCCTGAAGTGAGGGCGTCCGCGAAAATTGTTATTTTGGACATGGAGGTTTAGATTTGGTAGGGGTGCAGGGCAAGATTAGGACACTGATGAATAGGTGGTACGAAGTAGCTGAAGTGGATTCCACCCGCGAGATCCAGTTCAGTTACCGAGTTTTTAGACACATATGAGTTGAGCAGGATTTCGCTCATGAGAGCAGCGCGCTTGAAGGCACAATTCACGATAAATTTGAGTAAACCAGATTATGACGAAAAATGAAAGATAAGGTGGAAAATAGTGCGGTGAAGGCGAAGAAACTGCACGAATAGTTGTTTCCAAAGTGATGAAAGATTCGAAAAAATCATTAAAAAGGGAACTGGATGGGAAGGAGACCAGAGAAATAAGAA